TTCAGAGCTTTGGTGTGCCTCAGACCTATATGTACTTCATTCAACAGCCATGTGACGATGCTGTGATCCCCAGAGAAAAGCTCAGTGAAGCTTTTGAAGCCATCCCAGATGACCTTATTGATTCCGCTGGTCTAGGATATGTTGCAGACTCTGAGTAGTGAGAAGATGTTCTTAAATCGGATTGATAGAATAACCACACAAAGTCAGGAATTCGCTAATGATTTATCCCTTGCGTCTCATAAAGTTTTCTGTTTACAAGCAAGTAAATGTGCTACACTCAGCAAAGAGGATATGATTCTAATTCTCAGTGCCAATATGAAGTCAGTGACTGGTTCTACATTTTTCAAATACTAGGTGCATGTGTCATTAGAGGAATTTCAAACAACATGCAGACATTCATCAAGAATTGCCTTCTGTTGATACTGGACATCAAATGCAGGATGAAACTTAGACAACCGACAGAAAACCGGCCTTAAGCGTATGACACGATAAAATATCTAGGGGGAAATGGAGGTGGATTCAACATACTCTGAGGGGACGCTTCAGGACTTCGAGTGAAACCTGAAAGATAAACGAATTGGTCGTCCGTGGGTGACTTGGAGGAGACGATGAGAGGAGGGAATAAATTCTTATGGCCGATAACAAGGCAAGCTAAACAGTTTATCAGAGAACTACTTGGAAATGTAAAGTATCAGTGAAGACTTATGTTAGGATCGGAGCACAATGACATGGTAATTATTAGTACTAGTAGGGATACAACTAGAAATACTATTCAAATTCAACTTCGTGATGAAGTGGTATCAGTCAGAGAATCAATGAGGATCAAAAGTCATCAGAAAACTATTTTGTCCGGGAACAAAACGAGAACAGCAAAACTTTAGTGAAATATCCCTCTTGGAACAAAAATATAGGGAGACTGTGTAGCAGCGTTCACGCTCATTGCCCTTACCCAAAGAACGGCTTAAGTGTCTTTTACACAAATACACAAAGAGTGTACGGTCCAAGTTCAACAAACGTCGTAGTACAATAGACAGTCAGCCAGTGTGTCAACTTAGCTCACACTTCTTTGGGGATTCATGAATAAATGAGTTTTCAGACATGCAACAGATGGGGTGGCACTTTACGATTGCCATATTGACGCTACACTGATCACATGTAATGACAAGGAAGCATGCTTTTCACCTTATTGATCTATTCAACAAGGCATGTAGAATAGCACCCGACTCAACTTTGAATGCACAGAAGGATGTTGAACAACTATAAGCGAAGGATAAAAAATTCACGAAAATTTATCTATGGTGAGGCAACTTGAAATCGATTTTTTTTCCTTCACGTTCCCCAGTGGAACATGGGGCTTCAAGCTAGTGGCTTGAAGTTTCTGTAGCAGTGTTTATTTTACGGGATGGGGTTGCTAGCCTCATCCCCAACCTTTCCTCTTCACCAGCATTATTTCTGGCTTAGCGAGGTAAAGGAGTGCGTCGGCCGGGGATCGAACCCCCGACCATGTGCATGGTCGGCGAGCGTCCTAACCACTATGCCACCGACGGTATCTTAATATTCAGTAATCTACAGGAAAGATCTAATGACAACTTTTCCTAACCGTATTGTAAAGCAACGTTCTAAAGAATGACTTGAAATCGTCACTGGTGTCGAACGCCTACAAGGTACTGGGTAACGCCAAAAATCTAATGATGTGAACAAACATGAATATCGTGTATAAATGCCAAAGTCAGTTACAGGGGACAATCAGCCAGTCTTCTTAAAATTTCGATTCAAATGTGGTCAAATATCTAGAAAAAAAAGTCCTAGAGAAACGTAATTTCCTGGTTGCTTTCAGGTTCTATCATGAATTGATTTCAGTGAGATAACGATTAAAAAGCCAGGAGGATGGTTCAAGGACAGGCGTTTTGTTCCAGTTTATGGGAATACTCAGTGATACGTGGTGGCACGATCCTCACAAGTGGCTGACTACAGTATGAAGTTGGGTCAGGGAAAGAACGAACTAACTGTATGCAGGATAATGCCAACTGGACTAATATCGTGGATTCTCTTCAACTGGCTACATCCTAAACAGTATCAAATTATAAGTTACAAAATTTCTGAACATCCTTTTTTCACAATGACTTTGAGTTATAGATAAAAAGTAGTAAAGACAACATAATTCCAAAACTGATGTATGCAGACGAATGATTCAGTGTTAAAAGACTAACTATTTATCGAATTATTAGACAAGAAGCGGAGCAGAGTTCAGATTTCGCTTGGAAACAACGATAGATTAGAGACAAAATGCACGATCGAACAACAGAGTGAATTTATACATATTACGGTGACGAGTTCAGGAGGGTAGAGGTGAAATATGAAGTAAAATTATAAAATAGATGAAATAATGCACTAGATTTGGAGACTTAATAGTGAGTCCAACTCAGGGAGTACAGTTCAAAGTGAAAAAAATTAGGTAGAATGTTACGCAGACGAACAAAACAATCACAGTTACCAAGTTAGTGAGAGATTAATCACACACCATCTTTCTGTATACAAATTTAGGCTTGCAGTCTTTTAATAGCAATGACTTCTAAGAAGCAAAGTAACCAAGATTCTCTTTGTTTATTGATTATTTTGAACTAATTTTGACGAATTACCACAGTATGTCCTATGTCAACTAGGTGTTCGGCAATTACACTTCAGTACATTGACACACATAAACTCACTAGTAGAGGGAATAAAACTCACATCTGAAGCCAAAAATGAGCAAAGAGAATTAGCTATGTTACACTGTAAAATAAAACGAATAGAAGAAGGTAAACTACACACTAGAGTTTATAGAAAACCAACGCATTCTAATAGATATTCAGACTTTAATTCATCTCATCCTTTAACTGTTAATGTAGGCTTAGTTAAGTGTTTAACAAACCGAGCAATGGCACTAAGTAGCAAAAAAAAGACCTAAATGATGAAATAAAACAGATAGAAGAGGCGTTGGTGTCAAATGATTAATAATCCTTTAAAATTCATTAGGAAGATTGAAAAAAAGATCAAAAGAAAAATAAAAAGAATTGTGAAACTACTTATAATAATATAAATAATAGAGAATATAAATCATCTGCAGTTATACCAAATAAAGAGGGGACCTCTGAGACCCTACGTAGGATTCTAGATAAAGCAGGAATTAGGGTGGCATTTAAACCTACAAACTCACTCAGGAAGGACAAGCTCTGTAGGCTAAAGGGCCCGGTGGACCCAATTAGACAACATAATATAATTTACAAAATAGCCTGTAATGACTGTGAGTTATGTCAATTACATAGGTCAAACTAGTAGGTCGGAGGTAATCAAATTGTCAGAACATAAGAATTTAGCTAAGGTGAGAATGGTTGACTCCGTGAAGATAAGTAATTTAGAAAAAAACTCAACAACTGCACTGCCTGCATTAATACACAACCAAAAAGCAGTGTGGGAGAGGGTTCAAATTCTAAGAAGTAATATAGATAGATGGAGAGAGAGAGGTTGATTACTTAATCCTTGTTCATCCAGTCTACACCCAACACATGCAATAGAAATGATTCATCACTTATACCCGAAATATGGAGAATATTACTACCAATCAAATCAAGTGAAAATCAAGTGAAAAACAATGGAACTATATAAATGAATTTAGGAAGTCGTGTGATTACCTTGATATGATTATGAGCGGCAATAAATTGTGCTCGAAACGTCATCAGTAAACATTACTGTATAACACTGTGAGACTTTATCAAAACGAAATTTACCCATAATGGAATTACACTTCAGTACACTTTGCTACTTTTCATATGGAGACTTTTAGTGATATATGCCTAGAAAATCTAGTAATCGCCCTCCTCTCAGTCCCTACTATGTACTTGCTGCCACAAGTGCAGGTGAATTGGTAAGGGCAGTTGGAGTTAAGTATCATGTCTTATACATAGTTACTGAATAATTCGATCTATAACTTGAAGTCACTGTAAAAATTATGTTCAAAAATTTTATCAGGGATGAAGGCAGTTGAAGAGAATTCACGAAATAAAAGCAGCTTGTATTATCCTGCAGACAATATGTTCGTTCTTTATTAAATCACATAGATTCTCTATCTAATTGTGTCTATAAAATAAAATGCTTGGAATGTGTGATGCGATATACATCGGAAAAAATCAAAATCAGAAGAAATGAACACCGTAGAGCCGCCATTGTTCAACTACCGAGAAATCCAGTTAGTGAACCAGAAAACCTTGAAAAATCATCAGCCATAGCTCGTCTACACCGTGTAGAATCAGGCCACAATATTGATTTTGAAAATATTGAAAAAGCTCTTCAGAAATCACGAAGAACGTCTCATTTCATCAGAAGCACTTCATATCACATGGAATTCAAATTAACTGCATAGGAATGATGGACTAAAAGAGAATCTAACCTGGTTACAACACCTACACCAGCCACCCCTCCCCATAAAATCACAAAACCAACACCAATGTGATAAGCAATGTCATTATGTGAACGCACGCCGCTTTTATAATCGTATGCGCTTATCAAATCCAACAATCTATACCTGGTTTTGTTATCTTTACTAATTGGTCGATTTGACAACGCAAAAATGACTCCATGCTTCGGAACGATGATTAATTTGTTATATTTAAGCTGAATGGATTTTGTAAATTCTAGTGGGAATTCGGGACCAGCCAGGTCCCATCATGCTAGGCCTGGGGATATTGATCGATGCCACTGACACTGATTGAATCCCTGATGAGTAGGGTTGTGGGGATGTTTTGCTGAAAAGTCTCGAAAAGGACAAAATAGCTATTCAGTAATCTGTGAGTCTCAATAGTTCTCTAACTGAGCTCATTCCGTGATCCAAGGGGAAATACATTCAATCAAATTTGCATAGTCACCAACAAATTTTAATACATTTAAACTTATCAAAGACACATGGAAATGAATGGAATAGCAATTGGAAACAAAATTTGTCAAAAAAAATCAAATTGACTTACTTTTGACATAACTGTCTGTTTAGATAAATCACCTTTATGATGTAACTTTCTCAAAATACCCGATTCATCATTTATTAATCTTCTCTCCGGTGAAGCTATTTTCTCCATTGATGTTGAATATAAATCCATTCCCGTGGGGATAGCATTTTGATGGTAGGATATCAATGGAATAGGTGAAATAGTTGATGAATACGACTTGGATTCACGTCGTTGAATATTTCTCGTGCCTTCTAAATATCTTGCTGTATTTGTTGTCCCACTTGTATTACTACTAGTACGATTTGTTGACTTCTTCATCATTAAATCATCAATACGCGGTTCTCTTGGTGTATTACTCATAATCTCAGGACTCAAAGGTGAGGTCATCATTTGTGAATCCATGTTTATGAAGGTTGGTGTTGTTATCAATGACGTTGTTGTTGTTGACGTTGATTTCGGTGAAGTGAACACGGATGGGGCTAGTGGTGATCGATCAGAATGAATGGGCATATAATCCACCAGCTGATTTTGACTATGATTACTAATACCACTACTACTATGATGACTACTGATTGTATGATTTTTAGTTATATATAAATTACTAATAATCTCTTCTTCAGTCTCTTGATGATGATGATTATATGGACTTATTCGACCTGAAAGTGTGTCAACTGTTGTCACCAGTTGATTCGATTGACACAGGCGTTGATCACTAGGATAATTTGATAGATTTGCACGTATATTCCCGGTTAATTGATGTTTACTGTTCACAGAGGATCTAGCCACCATTCGTGGCTTGAAAGACTGTGTCCGACAACGACGCGGTAAATTCCAATTGGTATTGTTATTACTAGTATTGCTGGCAGTAGTAGTAGTAGGATTAGTATTTTGATGATAATTAGCATAAAAATCAGTGCACTGATCACTTTGTACTGATTGGGAATGTCCTATGAATGATTGATGCTTTCTACTGTCTGTTGTTATACTATTCCGACTACTATTATTACTACTACTATTAATATGATTACTGTTTGTTATCCTATTGGCAACACGTTCATCTGACACTAATTCATGATCACTAATAGATGAAGTAATTCGTTTTTCCATTAGTAGTAACGTGTATGTGTAAGTGTGTGTGTGTGTGTGTCAGTAGGCTGTGAACAGACGTATTGATTTCTTTATGATGATTATTTTTTTATTATTATTTTTCTATGCTTCTTCTTTTTTTCTTCAAGGTGTAGTTAAGGCGTGCACAAATGATAATGTGTGTTTAGTAGTGTTCATCTTTTCTAAATCGGAGGGGGAGTGTCTGCTTTTCGCCTCCACCTATCATTGGGATATCTATCTCCCTGTGTGCGTGTGTGAATATGTGACTTTCTGTGTTTGTGTGCGTGCGTGTGTGCCTGCGTTCACGTATGTATATCCCAATGTACCGTGGAAAAGTGTGCAATGTTACCTTTCTATCTTTTTTGGGGCAATAGACTGACAAGAGTCCGTGTACAACTGAAGAAGAAGAGATAATGCAAGTCTTCTCTCCGTTTGCGTATTTGCGTGTTTTTGTTCGCTCGCTTGCTTTTATGATCCTGATTATGTTGTGTATGTGTGTTTTTTCGTTGTTGTTGTCGTTGTTGTTTTACTTTCCACTGTAGACAAGAGTTTCACGTTTTCTTCAGTCAGTCGTTATTACATAACTGTCAAGCAGCCAACAACAACTTCAGCTGTGCACACCTTTAACTCTATGTGAATGTCATTAGACAAGCAAACAAACAAATTTATGTGTATAAAAACGCGCGCGATATCCAGTTTGTCAAATGCACCAATCAGAAATCAGTTCGGTCTAATTGGCCAATTAAAATGAAGCACTGACAAGGCCAGGAGTTAACATTTCTTACTCTATTTTATAAGGTATACATACTACTAACATTAATGATAATAGTAGAGAGATTTCAGTTAATTTCAGAGGTAAGATTTTCTCACTTAGATCAACAAAGTGCTCACTGGTAATGAGTGTTAAAGTACGGTGAAACAGATATCCAGATATCTCCGTCGTTTCTCTAACTGATATCCATCCGTGGTCACACTTGAAGATTAATCTGATCCTAGTTACTAACACGTTACAGGACGAAGTTGCCTGCAGTTCTAGGGAGAATTCATGACCGCGGAAGTCCATACGGTCGCAAATGAGGAGAAATACAACACGCCAGAGATGAAATAGGCTTCTGTCAGTTGCGCTAAAACCACGAATAGGTAGAAGTTGCAATTGTTGTGCTGTTGTGTCGGGTAACAATTGTTAAATGTTCGACCAGCTTGCCTGGGATGGAAATTTGGCAGGTGCGTACACCTGAAGAATCCAAAAGCAGCACGAAACGTGTGTCAAGAACTCCTTGGTTTTCAATGCCCATCTGAAACAAATAAGTCCCTACAAACTAACTATTGGAAATCAACAGACACCCAACTGGATAGCTATGGGACATCCAGCCAGGTGATATCACTAAGCTGAAGGTTGATATTTGGAGTATGAGACTTTTGGAGAGGGTTCGATTAATGTAATTTCAGCCGTTAGATTTCGTGAAAATCAAGACATCAGTTAGAGAGATCACTAAAACAAGAGGACACGAAGTTCAGCAAAGATATCTTTCCGGCAATTTCATTTTCAAAAGCTGTACAATCGCATTTAAATACATAATTTTACATGGATACACTTCTTGTTTGATTCCACATAATTACGAAGGCGAATAAAAGGTGACAATTATTTTCAAGTAGATATGGTTTACGAAAGGATTAGAAACAAAACTACACAGGATTAGAACGGATTACAAGTGTGTAAAATGAGCAAAGAAACAAAATTGAAATAATAATTTCCAACTTGAGATGGAAGCTGGGAGGTGCAAATATAGAAATTATTATTTCAATTTTGTTTCTTTGCTCATTTTACACACTTGTAATCCGTTCTAATCCTGAATAATTCTGTTTCTAAGCCTCTCGTAAACCATAGCTACTTGAAAATAATTGTCACCTTTTACTCGCCTTCGTAATTATGTGGAATCAAACAAGAATTATGTATTTAAATGTGATTGTACAGATTTTGAAAATGGAATCGCCGAAAAGATATTTTTGCTGAACTTCATGTTTTCTTCTTTCTTATGGATGTTTTCCAAAATCACTAAAAACCGACAAAGATATCTGTTTTGTTCCAGTTTTCAATTCTCTCTTCAACAATTTGCACCCATATATCCACCCACCCGAGATTGGACCTGGTAACTTCAGGTTTCAAGATTAAGCTTCTTAAATAATAAGCCATATGCAGTGGAACTTAGTCATCAATGAATCCCAACCTTGTTAATTTGTGTGATTTACCGCCAATCTCAGTTGATAAGCATCGGCTTCAACGTGACATGTTCAACCTCACTGGTCTCGACCATTTCCGACCTCCATGAATAAGGGGGAGATCAATATTTCGATTTTGAATTCCTGTATGGATTCAGGTTAATTTCTGTTTGTCAAAATTTCATCTTGAACCGACATCAGTTAGAGAGAAGTGTACAGTTGTTTCGTCCTATTTTGAGACTCTTCAAAGTATGCCTCCAGGACTCCGTTTCCGGCGTTTGAACTCATAATCTTCAGGTCACAAGATGAAGCTCTTTCAGCTTATATCATTTGAAGGCTAAATTTAGCTTTTTTTATGAAAAAATATGTATTTTTGGGGTTTTTCTTCAAAATAACAGAAGGATGGGAGGTATGGCAATCGTTGAAGTTTCTGTCTCTATTTCTATCTCTCACCATCTGTCTCCTTCACTCCTTTTCATCTGAAGGTATTTAGTAGTTTCTTTCTTTTTCTGTACTGTTCTTCCCTCGTTTCAAGCTTTTTGTACAGACATGGTTTCACACAGAAACAAATAGGCAAAGTGTGTTAACAAAAAGATTGTGAGTGGATAGTGGCCTAGACTACACTGTCTTGAAACTGCTGTTCATGATAAAAGGAGAAACAACTAATTAAACATGTCTTCGAATGAGGTAAGGAGAAGAAATGACAAGTGATGGATAGTTGTCACAACATGGTTATTACTACTGTTATTATTATTATTACTATATCGTTGATAAATGCATAAACCTGAAATATTTTCATAAATGTAGGTTGTTGGTGCAGCGGATTGGGGGGTGGGGATGATTTCAGCAGACAAGACAAAACAAAAAAATAAAATAAAAGTTCGTGAAACATTCGCTGTTGAAAGTTTAACGTCTAGTTTGATTGACATGACGACGATAAACATTTAGCCGTAGACTGAAATGACGTAAAATACGTGGGAAGTATTGATTAACTCTGGATAATTGTTACATCTACTGATTTTATCGTTCATTAGTAGTAGTACAGGAGAGAGTAATAATCCAACGAGATATATTCAGATATTGAATTCAATGAAACAATCTACAGACAGAAGGATGGCATTGCAATGGGTTCTCCCTTGGGTCCTCTCCTTGCAGACTGTTTTATGTCCAGTCTAGAAAATGGTCAGTTGAAGTCAACAATCCAAAGCTTTCAAATGTATAAAAGATATGTAGATGACACCTTTATTATTTGTAATAGTGATTGTAACTTGAATAATATATTTAATGTATTTAATGGTTGCCATCCGGTGATAAAATTCACACTCGAAATGGAAATCGAGTCTAGCATTCATTCCTCGATGTGAACTTATCAAGGAGGACCGATGGAACTTTGAAGAGATCGATTTATCGTAAGCTGTCATGGAATGGTCAACTGACAAATTTCTACAGCTGGGTGCCCATTGGTCGAAAATGAAACCTGATCCGATCGGCTGCCACTCGTATTCGGCGCATATGAAGCCCTGATACTGTGGAAGATGAGTTAAATCTTTTGAGGAAAATCCTAATAGAAAATGGATTTCCACCATGCTTTATAGACAAGAATGTACATTCAAATCCTATGAAACGTGACTTATCATCCACACCCAAAAAATACTGTACATGAGCTTGGAATTCAAGGGTGACTTAGCTTCCAATATCATGAAAAGAAGGATATCACAGTCCCTGAAAAGAACATTCCCTACTGCATCTCTGAGAATAGCCTTTACTAGTCGACCATTACTGTTCAATAACCTGAGGAACAAGATCCCGCTGTTGACCAACTCTATGTGTGTTTATCAATTCACCTGCTCGTGTGGAGCTAGGTATGTCGACTCGAGTTTTGTCCAAGAGGTTGCAAGAACACTATCCTGCATGGTTACGAAAACGTGGAAGTTGAGCAAAAAGAAGCACGATCATTGATGAACATCTGGTCGATAATGATCACCCTATCTCTATAGCCTCCGCCTTTAAAGTCATCTACAAGGCAAAAAGTAAGTTACCGAAATCACTACGTACCCGACTCATCTGTATTGCTGAAGCTTTGGCTATCGAAACAGAAAAGCCAGATTTCTGTGTACAGAAAAAGTTCGTTCAACTCCTCCAACTTTCATGGTCTTAATCCCTCTATGCTAAAGTATAGTAATCCCAATTTTTTCATTTTGTCTATTCAATTTGTATGCTCTTCCTTATTACGTCAATTGTTACTATTACTATTCTCACTTTGAACTGTCCCCGGTTTTATTTCACTTGTTCCACTTGTCATTCTAAATCAATTCCTTTTTCCAACATTAAATTCTATGCTATTAAATTTCATACAGTATTACGTAATGTTTTTATTTTATTCGATTTGTCTACTAATCTTATAAGTGCACAACCCTTTTCAAGTTCTATCCATCCTATGAATTATTCTATATATGACATTAATTTGCTTTGCCACTTAACACTCAACTACGATTATAATCATAAACATTTTAGTTTTAATTACATTTCATATTATTACTATTATTATTATTTTATGCATTCACACCTATGATTCAATTCCCTCACCGGATATAACTTCTTAAAAACCATTTATACGATTGTACAGCCTGATGATAAATTCGCTGAAAAGAGTCTCTTCGCTGAATCATTTGTTTTGAATTCAAATGTGGCAAGAGGACTTCCGAAAATGTAAAATTGTCTTCTTAAACATTCTGCTGACAAGAACATCAGATGGTAGTATAAAAAGTAATTTGTGCGAGAAACGGACACATGGACATGACAAAATGGTTTTATAGGTTTGTTCCATTCAAGGAGAAAAGAAATTCGGTAAGTACTCTTAGCTATACGGTCAGAGAAGGTGTATTTCAAGCAGAAGAACCTTAAGAAGCTTGTCATTAAAGCGTATGACCGAATGAATTCTTTTGTATCTGCCTAGATGAAGCCCCAATATGTATATATATATGTAAAATCTGCAAT